TCTTTATTGATAATTACTATCGAGATTGACATCAAGTGTCTTCTACATATAGTTCAATTTTTGATTTACATTACTATATTTTTTATATATAGAATTAATACTGCCTATTGACTATTTCTAGTAACAGCTTATATATCCACCTTAATTATCCAACTATACGAACTTATATCAAGGAGATATGTTCACACGTCAGGTGGGATTAATCCAGAGGATGGAAATCCTGCCACTAGTTTTAAACCATCTAAACCTGTTAATCCAATAAGGCAGAGAGCTTGTATACCTTACAAGAATAATTAGAACACCCGGATATCCCAAATACTTTTCGCCTGGTTCCTCAGAGAAGGTATTATACTCCTTGTCACTACCTGTGGCTTCAGATTTCCTTTTTAGAGTCCTCTTCTTTTAAGCAAGCACCAGATTGAGATAGCCCCAGGCTAGAATGTTCTTTGTATTATGGAGTCTGCCATGCCAAGGGGTTTGTGGACTTTTATTAGAGTTAGACCAGAAGCCTTTCCTCGTGCAACCTTCTGTGCTTCGACCTGTTTTCAGCCCGTGATTGTCGGGAAGACCAGAGGTCCCATTTTTATGCAGCCTAACTAAATTTGGATAAGATCCAGATGTTTGGATATGATATTTGTAAGAAAACCGGTAAACTCACAAATGAAGGATAATTTTTATGTATTTGCCTCCTGTGGGTATTGAACTAGGGACATGCATTTGACAACCTGGGAGCATTACCCACTGTGCTATGGATCCACAGGTCTTATTTTATTTTTATTTATTTTTATTTTATAGTAGAACAAGTATTAAATTTCAATTATTTATTAATATATATAGATATCTTGATAATATATTAAACATTATCTATAATTTTAAATTATAGCTAAATACTAGCTTATTTTACTTTTTATATTTAATATTATGTTATTTATTTTAGAGATGTGTTATATATTTTCAAAGAGACCTATTTAGAGAATAAAAATTCTATCACTAGTTTTAAACCATTTAATATATTAATTTAATTTTTTGTGAGGGCAGTAAATTATTATTAACTACTTATCTAAGTTATTTATCATATTATATCTTTTTGCTTATATATAATATGGCCAGAAAAATCTCAATATGAATATATACTCTCTAGTAAATATTTTGATTTTTAATTGTTAATTGACTTTAAGTTACCAAATCTAGGAGCTCTTGTGATTAAATAAAACATGACTCTCTAAAGATTATACAATTTATATTAAGCAAACTTTCAAATTCCTTAATTTCCTAGTAAATATTCCAGTTTTGAAATCAGTTGACTTAGGTTATCAAATCTAAAGATATAAATACCAAGTAAAATACAACTTCTATATATATGATAAATTATTAGAATAGCTATATTACATAAGACATTAATTAATATTAGTTTAGTATTTTCCTTTAAAGCTTATTTATTCAGCAGTTAATAGGAAAGAGAAAGATGTCAAACAAATTTATTAAGATATGATATAGTTCAATCTGTATATTCAAATAAGTTATTGTTATAGAATTGATAAGGATTAATTGAAATAAAGTACAATCCAGTTTATATACTCAAATATGAGAATTTTTAATTGTTTAATGATTATTATAATACTAATTAAACAATTTTTATATTATTATATTTTTAATAAAGAGATTATAATTTCAATATCTGTTGAATCAGTATGTGAAATGACTTCTTATAAAAAATAATATATAACTGGTTATGGTGTCAAATATTATATTAATTTTATTTAATTACCTTTATATATGATTAAACTAATATTTTATGATTTGATTTGTGAAATACTAATTACTATATTATAGATCCATTGGTATTATTTTAAAGTTTTATTAATTTATATTTAATTAATTTATATATTAAAATAATTTTAATAATTAATATTATTGTTTTGTTGTAATTAATAAAAAATTTTGAATTTTGAATTACTATTTCTTTTTAATTATAATTTAATTATATTTAAAAACTTTTTTATATATTTTTGTTTTATATCTTTATTTTAATTATTTAATTAATTATTAAATTATTAATAAAAATAAAAATATTGATTTTTTCCAATTATTTTTGTTTCACATTATATATAATATTGAAATTATACTTTCTTTAAAACAGCTTTTATTTAAATTTATACTATATATTATTATTATATTATTATAATTATTTTTTTTTTTTGTATTTTATTAATAAATCATATAAAACGTTGTTATTATATTAAAACTATTTATAAAACTTTTATCAAATTATAATTAATATATATACATATATTAAAATGCTAGATAAAATTATCAATTAAAGCTTTAAATATAATATTAAAATGAACTATTACTGTATATAGCATTTTTAATATGCATATATAGAAGAAGCATTTACATAGTCACGTTTTTTTGCAATTACACAATATGTGTGTAACAAACTGTGATTAAAACATTACTGGCAAAACAAAAATATCAAAATTTTTTGCAATATGATGGTAAGAATCTTGACTTAAATTATTTTAAATATCTTGCTCGCAATAAATTACAATCATATGTAACGATGGCTGGAGCTTTGAACAGACATTTCTCTACAAAGCACGAGTTTTCTTGTCTAATCGAGAGGCAGCTATTTACACGAAAGAATTCTTCTCTTAACACTCCAACTTCAGCGGTCGATATGATCACTCCAATTAGTCAAGTTGAGGTAGCAGTGAATAAAAGTGAAGCCTTAGGAAGGGCTAAACGTATTGATCAAAGCTTACAATATAAATTAAGAGACAAGACAAGGTTGTTTATTGATTTCATGCGCATCAAAGTTAAAGGGGGTCGCGGGGG